GGGGGGGGGGAATAGGGTTATCTTGAATTTGAATCTTCATTTGAGATCTAGGTTTTGGTGTTCTTGGGCTCTAGGCTACGGCTAGAGATTTGGAGAGTTTTTCCTTCCTCTCGAATTGAAGGAAAATTGTATCTTGCTTGTTGTTTGCAACTACTAGTGGAATACAATCGTTTGCAATTGTTTTCCTACATTTTCCATCAGTTTTTCTTCAGTTTTCTGCTGTTTTCACTGTGTTCCTGCGCCGGACAGCAATTTGCTTGGAGAGTTGTTGCAAGAAGTGCATAGGAAATACTTGATTTCAAGTATTTCCTATCAGATAATGATGCCGATTTTCTGAAATTTCACCCATTCTTGACGTTGTTGGTGTACTATCTTTGAATCCCAAAGAATATATTGTTGCTTAACACACCCATAGTCATTAAAAACAACCTTTGTCCTCAAGGTTGAGAGATGAAAAAAAAGCAGAAAGAGATTTCATGCGCACCCCTTGCTTGTAAGAACCGGAATTTCAGGTACGGTTTAATAATTAAGTATTATAAAATTAATGTGTTAGTTTAAATAATTATTAGAATAACTTAACTAAATATCTGAATGGATGTATGTAATGGAAGCTTTTGATAAAAAGTATTATGATAAGAGGGCCGGTTAGAGACTTGATGGGGCTCACATTGGATAAACCATGTTCTTCTCCTCCTATTACTGTGTTCGCTGGGTAAGGAGGCAGGGAGCAGGAGTCTGCAAAGAGTGTTGTTAGAGATAGGGGAAAACCGCATTCAACAGAGAGAGACTGGTGGACTTGGGTGTCTAGTACAGGAAAAAGAATTTGAACCTGTTGCCAAGGAAGGTGTGCGGCTAGTGTAGGAGGTGGGCTGGAAGGAGTTCGGCTAGGGTAGATTTCCTTCAGCATTACAGGAGCAAAAATGAAGGCATTCAGCACAATGTTGAAGTGAAGGCTCGGTTGCTGGAAGGAAGGAATTCAACATTATTACTTGGAAGAGAAATTGGTAGAAGCAGTATGATTCAAACTTTTTGTTGTGTAGGGAAGTGCTTGTGGAGAAGATACATTTAAGTATGTAAACTTAACTAATTGTAGCAAGATTTGCTAAGATTTAAATATGATTAATGTGATAAGTGTGCAATCTAATTAATAAAATAGGGAACAATAGGGTTTCAAAGGGTTTGGAAGAAGAATCTAAAAGAAGAACAGACATATAGTTGGAGAAAAGGAATTTTGAAAAGAAAGGTAATGATAGTGATTCATTATCTTTTATGGAATATAAAATCAGTAAAGTTTATAGAAATGTATTATAATTCTTATATTTTGATGTATCAGTCTTATAATGCAGAGAGGAGAATCTGAATTGGTTTATCAAAGGAGAAAGTTGCGGGGTGTAGGTTTGGAAGGGACCTCTCCTCAAGAAGGTAAGTTATGTAATTATTTATAATTGTAATGATCATGAATGTTTGGTATATTCCTTATGTCTTTTCATTTATTTATAAAAGAAATGTATTATGAGAATTTTGTTAGTCATCACGAGAATACTTTGGGGTATTTACAACTGTTTATACATGAGAATAAGAGAGATTTGACAGATGCCTAAGTGTGCTTATTTAAATCTTTTCTTAATTGATAATACTATGCAAAGAAATTTTCTTTTCAATTTAGTGTCTATCACATTCTTAGTACACAAAGATGTATGAATAATTGAAAGGTTATAACCAGTGCAATCAGTTATGAATTATTGAAGGTATGATGTATCGAATATCAAGTTAAAAGTAAAGATTGACTATTTTATAATATGATGTCTGCAATATCAGATGAGCAAAAGGGACCCAAATATTAAACCTGTATTGTATATGGGACAAAAGGGACCCCAAAATAAAAGATACATGCAAAGCAGGTGGGGCAAAAGGGACCCATAATGAGGCAAAATGGATCTCAATGTAATTCAATTGTGATAATGTCAGGTGTACCTGGATTCCATTGAATATTATTATGAATGTATAGCCAAGTCTTTTCCCTATTTAATTTGATATTAAGTGTAACTTTGAAAAAGTAAGAAATAATGTTAATTAAGATTATAATGTTGTTACCAGTAAGAGTAAGTTTAATGATAAATGATTTTAAAGTTTGATTTACTTCTTTTTTTTATATTATAAATGCTATTTAGATTATATAATTTGCTGAGCCTCATAACTCACCAGTGTTTTCTTACTGGCTGTTGTTACAGGAAAGGGGAAAGAGAACATTGATGCAAGCTAATTTTATGCAAGTGTTTCTTCTTTTCATATTTAAGTTATCTTTGAGGTATGAAAGCAATTTAGACATGTATTACTTTGGATTTTGTAGTAACTCTGTAAGTATCTTATGTTGAACTTTAAATTATTAGTTGCTTGTGTGTGACGAGATGAATGAGAATTGTTGGATGTTTTTATAGATATATCAAATGTTCAAAAGTATGATCAAATGATGAAATGGTTATTTTTATGTTAGTAATACTTTCCGTGCTGTTTAGGGGTATTGTGGGGTGTTACATTGATACTCGTAGTTGCAGATCCTTCAAGATAGATGGAAGCTATGCTATCACTATGATAATCAGGATTGTTGTGAAAATCAAAGAATTCCCGTGGTTTAAAAGTCCACATTTCAACGTCGAATCCATTAAAATGAGAAAGTTCAATTTCATTGATTTAAGAAAAGAGAAACTTGTAGGAGGAAGTAATGGTTGTGGAGAAGGGATTGGATCGGCGGAACGCCGGAACCAAAGATGCCGACGAAAGAGAAAGGATCTTGATGGAGTGGAGGATGTGGGCGGCCAATGCACAAACTATCAAGTTTCTTGTCACTAGAATGCATGAAAGCACGAAATTGTTGAAGTGATGAGCTAATGGAGGCAAATTGAACATTGGCTCGTTGTAGAGATTTTTGGAATTCGGGAAATTGTAATTCATGATTGAATACTTTTATCCAAGAAAGAGTTATCGTATGGGCAGAATCTTGTAGCTGAGGAATGCCTGAAAGGCAATTGGATCGAAGGAAAGAATCTGTAATGGTGAGATTAGCACCCTTTTTTTCTTGATTGCTGCAGAATTTTAAATTGAGACATAAAAATGAGCTGAAATCTGATGCTGGACAGGTTATTGATGCCTAGGAGCAATTCTTGATGTTGAGGCAATGTTTTGAAGATGCAGGATTCAGGAAAAATAATGATATGGAAGGCTAGTTTTCTGAAGAAAACAACAAGAGTGCAGGAACGGTCTTTGGTAGCAAAATCTTACAGCTGGCTGACTGACGGAACTACACCGGACTGCAGGAAATTGGCGAACTGCAGGAAATTAGAGGAATACAGGACAGCAGGAGTGTAGGCAAAGAGATTTGATGTTAATGCAACAAGAGCATCATTTGTTAAGCTTCTTGACATCCAAAAAGGGTAGCCACCCTTAGAATAGATGTAGATTTCAAGAGAAGAAGAGGGGAAAGAAGCAAGATTATAAAAGAAATAAAATAGAAATCTTATTTTCTGAATTCAATTATAACATTTGAGGTCTATTTTAAGTGTTTACATAAACCGGTCTTAAATCCATTTTTAGTTGTTTTATTTTACTTATATTGAACAAGCTGTTCTAACCCTTGAAATAAATTGAACCACGAGTTGTAGCCGACTTGTTGCAGTGCTCCCAATCTTTGAAAGCTTTGTTTTCTTCTTCTATGATAGAATTTAAATATTTTATTATCATAATATTGATTTTTTTAATTGTTCATACTATCTTTGAATCCAAAATAATATATTGTTGCTTAATAGTTTGGAAATAGCCCAAGTATCTAAAAAGGGAAAAAAAGCAAAAAACAAATGGCACATTCAAACCAACCTGGACAATTATTTTAATGTTTGAGACTATAGAGCAACCCTCTAGAAATGCTTGTACTAAATAGTTTAAAATCAACATCATCATTGTCATTCGCCTTACCCCAACTAATTGCGTTATAAAAATCCAGATTCTTTATCCATCCCGGCTAGTTTTGCATGAGTTGTTCAACCTATTTCGTGCAAATATTTTTGTATAACTTCTGTGCTATCTTTGGGCTATCCCCTTTTACTTCTAATTCTTTTGCATTAATTTTATCTACTCATTGCTAGTGCATCTTCTAACCTATGTTATACTAGCCCAAAACATCTAAATGTATTTTCCACTATCTTATGATCAACTGATGATGCTTCCATTGCCTCTTAAATATAATCATTTATCAATTTACCAAGCATTTATATAATTCTCATTTCTATCATGCTCATCATTATTTATGCTTAATATTTTAAAATTAAACTCTGAGAATAAGAGTGCTTATAAAAGAAATCATAATTATGAAACTACGATAACTTTCATATTTCATACTTCATCATTCCGTGTTCATGGAAATAGGCATTATTGGCATAACAATCAATTGTATATAAAATAATGCCAATAGAACAATTAAATTGAGCTATATCATATATGGTATATTCCATAATTTTGTTAAATGATTTTTACTACAAGATTACAACAGAACATTACATACTCATAGCTCATCTACCAGTCATTGCAGTCTAATATTAATCATTGCTGAACGAAATCTGCTTTTAGGGAGGTAAACTAAGAAATGAGTAAGAAAATGTGCTCCCAATTATTTATAAACAAAATATTATCAAGCATATAATAATATTTAAAAAATAAATTTAAAAAATATAATATATACAACAACAAACCCGGGTTTTGAAGCCAAATCTTAAGGTTTGAATTTGTGTTCCTGAGCAAACTCTCAAGTCAAAGCCGAGACTATCCAAGCCAATGATGGAGGCTTCCTGCAGTATATTGTAGAATGTACTTTACAATGGAGAAAAGAATGCTATCTTTTTCCAAGAAAAGTAAAGCCTAATTTGTGTTCTGCGTATGATCCGAAAGATAACACTTCACGCATTCAAAAGTTTCAGAAAAAAAAAAAAGAAAAAGAATGCAGGTGGTTAGGCCATGAGTCCCATCCGACTTATCCCATTCTTTTGATGACAGCAAGCATATTGTGATGTCTTCTAATGAATGGCTTAGTCTATGCAATGGTTCAACAAGTCTGCAGCATTCCATTTAAGTAATTGAAGCTTGAAAATGATTCACTGAGAATGAATTATTCATAAACTCATGACATAAAAAGTAAAGTTATTCATGCTTAAATAGTTAAATCTTAGGTTGATAGGTATTACGTATACTTTTATTAGGGACCTCTATGTTCTGGTAAATGAAGTAAATGAATTCATTCATTTCATGGTTTTAAAATGACATGTAATAGAATCACCACCATATATCACTTTTTGAAACTATATGGTTATAGGCACACACTTTAAAACTGGCAAAAACGGCAAACCCGTGCACGCCAAATAGCATTTGGCATGACATACTAATATTTGGGCTAAGCATTAATTTCACCAAAATTTCACTTTTAAAGTTTGTAATTACTCAAGATATGATAGGGCTCCAAGTTACAAGACCATTAGACTTGAATTCATCAAATTCAAAGGTCATTCAATTTGAAGATTATTAGCTATTCTAATGAACATCCAAATTTGAAAAAAACATATTTTAATACAATGAACCATGATAGTCTAATGCCGTAATTGATGAGCATTTAATTTTAAAAAAAATTACAGCAATTTATAATTTATTTTTTAAAAAGAATTGAAACGACAAATTGTTCATCATATCATCCCCTGGCTCTTTACGAAGGATCAAAATAGTCCCCGAACCCCGACTACTTAAAAAGTCTCATTTTAATTCTTTGACTTTTTAAATAAAGACCTAAATGATACCACAAAATAACTAATTTGATCTCTATTTAAAGAATAAAGATACTAAATTGATAATTTTATATAATCGGAAACTAATTTGTTTCCAATTTAAAAGCAAAGCAGAGAAACCTCAAACATACTTTTAGTCTAACCCTTTACTTATCCCTATTTTCTTTTAGAAGCCTACAAAAAGGAGTTCCTCATCTGAGCCTAAGCCCAAATAATCACCTCTCACTCTCTTCAAATTCGGGATATCACAATTTAGATCTCCATCCAAACATGATTATTTAAAAACTAATAAAGATAAAGATATATATATGCATAATGGTGAAGTATTACAAATGAAAAATGCAAATTAGATAAGTATACTAAGTCTTATATTGAAATAGAATGTAATCATGCATTAGTGAGCACAAACTCAAAGGACCCTACACCAAATATTGAGAACTACCGGTAGCACAATGCATCACCTGAACTTGTATACCCTTCTGTCTCAAACAAAGTGCCTTGAGAGCTTGAGTTGTCTTCTCTCCACCAGCTTTTAAACGTGAAAGTATATTCGCTGCAGAATGAGCAATAACATCTGGACGAGCTAGATGAAAATCTTGAACTTTCACTGTGGACTGAGATGATGATTAGAAAGAGAATGATTAATGTTAAAAATTGTTTGTATTAACACGTGTTAACAAAACTAATGAGCATTAAAAATAGCCTGATCAATGCCAACAAACATTTAACTTTAGAGCATTAAAAATAGCCTAATTTTCATGTAGTTGTTATGAAGTGCTTAGACGTTAATATGCACATGGAAAATCAATTTCAATGGTACAACAAACAGTAAACTACTCAATTATACGATACCCTTTGATAATATTTCATAAGTATAGATAAATAACGGAATATATATGATTTAAATCTATTTTCAAAAAGAAGCAAGCTAAATGCCGAGGGTATTCATCTCAATAGCAACAGGTATCGAGTCACAGTCAATGGATGTCCACAAATAGCTGCTAGTCTTTTTAAATACCCAAAATGAATTTCAACAGCATACAAGATATTCCAAATATCATATTTTCATAACTTGAACAACTACAGCCTCTTTATCAAGATATGTATCTTATGCAAGGTTTTTTAGATCCCTCATGTTTGCCCAAGGCGGATATAGGTCCTTGATAATTTAAGACAACCCAATTTGATCTGCTCATCTGTAATGGCTCTCACCTGAAAATACCCACAGATTGTGGGTTGAAAATAGTGACTAGATGATTAGCAATTTAGCATCATATCTCTCACTAGCCTAACACCAAGTCTCCCATCACCACCCCTTCCTCTCTTCTTGCTACCTTTAATGGTCGGAAAGCAACAAAAGAATTTACTTGAAAAATAAAATTTAAAGGTACATAAGAAATTATGAAAAAAAACATTTCTTATGAAAAAAAACATTAACATGAGGGACCTTGTAAGGATCACAGTAGCGGTGATTAGAGAACATATTTTGGCTTGATTGAATCTAGTATGTGACATATTTATTATTTAGTTTTTGTAAATGCTTACATTAGATCGAGTCCCAGAGTCAAGTCCCTTAAGAGTGCTGAGGCACTGTCTTCTTTGTTATTCGTGTCAGAGGAATAGCAATCTGAGAAAATTTTCACAAAATTCTTGTAGTAATCTGTTATGCCCATAAAACTATGTATCTCAGATGCAGTAGTAGGACTTGGCCAATTTACAACTGCTTGCACTTTATGGGTTTTACAAAATTTCGTCATTGTTCACCACATATCGCAGAAATGAAATATATTTCAACTACAATTCACATTTAGAAAATTAATTATATTGTTTGTGTTGTCTCAGTGTCTCCAGAACAATTCTCAAATAAACAACACGGTCTTCTTCATATTTGAAATATATCATAATATTGTCAATAAATACAATAACAAACTGATCTAGATATATCTTGAATGTTCTATTCATCAGATCCATAAAGACTACAAGTGCTTAGCTACCCCAAAACGCATAACTAAAAGCTCATAATGACCATACATAGTACTAAAAGCAGTATTTTTTTTTTTACTAAAAGCAGTATTTGCTACATCTTATTCCTTCACTTTCAACTGGTGATATCAAAACACCCTCCAACTAATCAAACAAATCATAATCCAAAGTGGAGAATACTTATTCTTAATTGTAACTTTATTCAGTTCTTTGTAATCTATACGCATTCTTATTGTTACCTACTTTATCTTTACAAACATAATAGGTGTACCCCAGGAGGATGCATTGGGTCTAAAAAATCCCCTATCCAATAACTCTTGCAATTGCACTTTCAACTCCTGCAATTTCTTATGTGTCATTACATACATAGCCTTAATAATAGGAGTTGTATCTAGTAAAATCTCAAAACAAAATTTCAGTTTTTATCAAATGGTAAACTAAACAATTCTTCAGAAACTACATCAGGAATTCCTTCATTATAGGGATTTTCTCAATTGTTTCAAAAATCATTCTCTTTTCCCTCACATACTAGAGGATCTCTCACTGAAAACACGGGGTGGGAATGCTCTTGATCTCCACATCTGTCTAGAGCTCTCCGCTCTCATATCAGAATGTTCATTAGGTCCAGCATGTGGACACTCTACCACCCTATGTCTCGTGTGGCCACAACGAATGCACAGTCTAGTTGCCCCATATATCTTATTCTGCAGCTTAGAAGGCATTGTGGCGCTCCTAAGGGGCTTTTTAAGACACATGCAGATTTTCACATACTTGACCCTCTTGATCTAATACATAAAATACACACAAAATATTTACAGAAAAGACAATAAATATATCACTTACCAAATTCAATTCAAGACGTAATAGGTTCTCTGATCACCACTATAGCAGTCCTTATAGACCTAACTAAGCATCCAAATCGAAATCAACACCTTTTTTGCAAACATGAGGGCCTATTCATAATTTACACTAGTTTAATGATGTTGCTCTTATAATGATGTACCTACATAATTTGAAAATGTTGATGCAATTATATAGAATGATGTTTATGGATGCACTTCTCAGGCTATCTTTCGGAAGAAAAGAATAAAAATGATGCAGGCTAAAGTTCGCCAATAATTAATATGACGAATGAGGCAGTTGCTACTATTGTTGTTCACAATTTTATGTTGAGATTTTGATAGAACAACAGGCAGATGAGCACAAAGCGATGAGGTCGGCGAGGCAAATCATGGTTGGGATGCCCAAGGTGACGAGGACGTGAAGGCCACTAGCTTAGCTAGCTAACTATCACTTGGGCAAGGGCTAAAGGGATTTTTAATTACATATAGTTATTTTGGAGTTTAAGATGAAGGGGCGGAATATTAAAAATAAAGTAAAACGTTGTTCTAAGATTAGATTGGGGCATTTAAAGAATTTTAATATAAATATTTTTTTGAGTGAGATTATAGATCTTACGATTTTGTCTGTGCATGAGGAAGCTAATGTGGAAAAAAATAGCTAGTGATATTAAGAATATTGCAAAAGATATGCTTGATTTATCAAAGGAGAAATCTACTATTAGTAAAAATAATTAGTGGTAGAATCAAAATGTACAAGAAAATATTAAAAAAAAGAAGATTTATTATAAAAATTAGTTTATCAGTAAAAACTCTGATAATTGAGAAAGATATAAAGAAGCCCGTAAGGAGTCTAAGAAAGCAATTTATAATGCAAAGATTTTAGCTTTTAATGATTTATATAATATATTAGATATTAGATATTAAGGAGGGCGAAAGATATATGTATAAGTTAGGTAAACAAAGAGATAGGAGTTGTAAGGATTTAGTTCAAGTGAAGTGTATTAAGGATGAATATCATGAAGATCAAAAAGTGATTTTATTATATAAGAATTTTCAACAAAGGTGGATGAGATATTTTGCAAAACTTTTTAATGAAGATTATGAGAATGCAATTTATTTTAGTGACCTTAGCACTCTAAATGAAAATAATTTTTTTATCGACGTATTAGTAAAATCGAAGTTAAAGAGACTTTAAAGAAAATGAAGTGTGGAAAAGCTGTTGGACCTAATGATATTCCAATAGAGGTGTGGAAATGCTTAGGAGATGAAGGAATTTATAGCCTTACTAAACTTCTTAATATTATTTTGAAGACAAAAAAGATGTCAAATGAGTGAATAACGAGTGTATTGATTCCTATTTTTAAGAATAAATGTGATGCACAAAATTGTGCGAATTATAGAGGAATTAAGTTAATGTGTCATACGTTAAAACTATGGGAGAGAGTTATGGAGCATAAGTTGCAGCGTGACACTAATGTTTCTAAAAAATCAATTTGGATTCATGCCACGTAGGTCTACTATGGAAGCTATATATTTATTGAGAGGTTTGATTTAGAAGTATAGAGAGAATGAGGAGGATCTACAAATAAATTTTATTATTTATAGAAAACATATGATAAGTTCCAAGAGAAGTGCTATGGAGAGTTCTACACAAGAAAGGGTTAATAATGCTTATATTCAAGTCATTAAGGATATGTATACATGAACTGTTACTTGTGTTCAAACACAAGGTGGTTTGACCAAGTGGTTTGAAAACTAAGGTTATGGTTGTGGATTCTTATGATTCATGAACTGTTTGAAAAGCAACAGAAAATTTTAACAACATAAATGTAGGAAAACAAAGAAAAATGTACGTTTAGGATATGCAAATGCCACAAATACCACACAATAAACCTATACGAAAAAGTAGCATTAAAAACCCATTTCAGAAAATCACAAACAACAGAAAAAAAAAAGAAAAAAAAAATCTAGAAGACCAGCAGTTTCAAGGCTACAATACAAAGTTATAGCGACATATGAATAGTAAATGAAAAGCTACACAAGAATAGCGGTGCAGAAATAATATAAATGGAGCCATGTAACAAAAGAAAGAGCGCCAAAGAGCTGAAAAAAAATCTTTCAATTTCAGAATGTCGGAGGCACTGGTCTTAAAACAAACTAGTGACCACTAATATGTATCCATGAGATCAAATTAAAATTTGGTAGAATTATTAATTTATAGAATGATAAGCTGCACTATTTGGATCATTACTTAGATGCACTATTTGGACCATTACTATGAAAGAATCATATGCAGAAGACTAAAAAAGAGACAATGGTAGAAACTGTGAGTTTTGGTGCTTTAAATATTTCAATGGCAAAGAAAATCAGCAATCGCTGCATTTTGGGACCTTGAACACCCAATATTTTTATTGGAAAAGGAAAAATAAGAAGGAAAGAAAGTACATCCACTTGGGTTCTCCCTCCCTGTACCTATACACACAAATATAAGCATATGCATGACAAAATCATATAATCCTTGGAGGATGTAGTCCTTTCTAGTTCAATCAAGATGCTTTTGAAAGATAAAGTTAAAGTTTATGCCCATTACCCAGTCCATTAATTTACATTGAGGTGGGCACCCTGAGAAAACAGAGAATATCCAATTCTAATATGCCTACCTGATTACCGCATGCAGAAACAAGCTGGATGCTTATTATTTCAAGCTTGAAGAATGTAGTTCCGCTGTGCTGGCTTTGATCATTATAAATCTCACCTGCAGAACACAACATTATGAGAAGAATTATCTAACAAATATGCATGCATCTACATCAACAAATATGAAAAACCTTCTTTATCGACTTCTATTTGTTTCCCAATATGTTGCCCTTCACTGCTTCCCACATCAATGATGGATGGATGCTTTTTAGTTAATTTATGCTCTTCAACAAAAGCTGGTCTCAATAGACCTTGGATTATGACACTAGCAGAAGGCTGATCCATCCAATCTAAATTACTATTTGAGACAGACTGGCAAAAGAATAGCAATGTCAAGTAAATGAGCAGATAAAAGCTTGACCTCTAATATTCTTAAGGTGAAACATAAGTGTAAATGCCATGATATAGAAGTATCATGGAACATAAATTACTATAAACCTGTATTTTTAAAGAATGAGATACCTCAGCTATTTTTTGAGCAAAATAAACTGGGTGAGTAGCTTGCATGGTCTCTGCATGTGACCAATCATTTGACATTTCAGATGTTACCTCATCACCATCATCTTCTTCCTCTTCTTCAAAAATGACTAAATCATCCTATCGTAGAACAAAGAGAATTAATAAAAGTATAATCATAACAACAGCTATGCCCATTGCTTACCCAAAGTCAGAGAAAAAAAAAACATGGTTATCACCTCTTCAGAGTCATAATCAAGATCATCATCCTCACTAACTGTATCAAGACCCAAATTGAATACGGATGATCCAGATGCTTCTATCTCTCTAAATATTTCTACATTGTCCGGACCGATTATAACTTGCTGCAGTGAACATAACATATTATTCAAGACATGGAGAAATTTTAGAAGGCCGAGAAGATTGAATACAATACCGCCAAAGTTTCATCGGCATCATCTGAAATGAAGCTTTTCAAAATATCATCATCATCAGTGGATTCAAAGTATATATCTGACCAGATATGTAATTATTATTAACTTCACATGGAGAATATAAGATAATTTTACCATATAACTATCCAGAGCATGGTAAAGTAGATCACCCATTACTCATCAAGAATACCATTAGTTTAATTTACCTCCATGCTCATCAGTTAAGTAGGAGACATCGGGCAATATTACATTCTGTTGGACTTCACCAGTGTCTTCTGTAAGCATAAGTGCGCCTTTGCTATTCACCTAAGCAGCAAAGAAAGGTATGCAGTTAAAAATATATACAACAGAGGTGCAATTGGTCACAGAAAATGATCAATAACCAAGCCCTTTGACAAGCACAATTACTGGTAGCATAAAAGCAAATTACCATCACGTATTCCAGAATTTGGCCTACTATAAACCAGTTGTAGCTTATCAATCTAGTGTTTCACAATGAAATTTATCACCTCTCATACACAATTTTTTATAAATTCTCATTTTAACTCACAAATATCTGCAGCATCCAATGCTGAATCCCCAAAAAATTAGTACTCGCTAGCACAGTTATAATTTAACGACAAAGGGCAAAGAATTGGATACCTCGATCAATGTTCTTGCTGTTTCAGCATCAGTGAGACGTGAATGCTGGCCATCTTCCATGGGCAATGGCTCTCTGATCTCCTCAGCGGGGAGGTATTTTTGTATCCAGCTGTTCTTTAGAGGATCTGGTAGTGATTCCGAATGCCCCGAAGGAGCACAAGCACAAATCCTTCCACGACGAGATTTGATCGCAGGCATGGCAGAGCAGCAACCCATGTCCACGCGCCCATCCCTAAAAGACAGACCTTCCCATAAGCGGAAAAGAAGCAAAAATAGAAAGGAAGAACAAAAGGAAATACCAGAGACCACCGGGAAACTTGCTGCTGCCGCGCAAGCTGGAGGAAGCGGCGCCATTAGAGCTCAAGACGTTCAGCGAAAGCCGGCAACCTGTGACGCGGAGAAGAAGCAATGGATTGACGATCGGATGGGATGGAAGAGACGAAGATTCAAGAGAAGGGAAACGAACGGGTCGCGTGAAATTCCATACCCAGTGCGGAGTCCATTGCCATCAGCATTCCCCTCAGAGTTCCTGACGGATCGGCCACTGGCATAAAAAAGCATAATATGAGGATAGGGCTCAGTTTCCCTTATCAGTTCCAATATTTTATCCAACAATAACAACATCAAATTTTTATCCTATTAAATTCCATATAAATGCATGAAATTCATTTAAATCTAATAAAAAAATATAAATTCTAATATTTTTAAATCAAAATTTTTTAGGTTTATCTCTACTTTTTTTAACATAGGTCAAATTTAATACATCAACTCTCCTAATAGGATCGTAGGAACTTTTATTAGGTTCGGTGTAAGAACGTTGAGGAACGTTCAGTCGGATGCAAAATCCCGCCAAAAAACTCGGTATTATTAGGTATTATTTGATAATAACGAGGAATATCGCTATGTGAAGATCAATACCGAGTTATACCGAGCTATACTGAGCAATACCAAGTTGTACCGAGTTTTTCTAGGAAAAACTCGGTACAACTTTTGTATAACTCGGTATTGCTCGGTATAACTCGGTATTGGGTCTTCACGTGATGGTATTCCTCATTATTGTTTGGTATTGCTCGGTATTTGCTAGGTATTTCTCGTTTTTTGACGCGATTTGGCCTCCGACCGGACGTTCCTCTACGTCCGGTCGAATGACGTAATAATTGTTCTCATGAGAAGGCCAATATTTTATATAAACATCTATTTTAAGTTACCTTTTATGGATATAGTTTTTTGTTAAGTGATTATAAAATTATTGTGAAAAAAATAATAATAAGTTAATTTTATAGTGATTTTAACCTTTATAGATTAGAATTTTTTAAAAATTAGTAAGAAAGTAGTAGATAAAGAGAGTTGTTGTTGAGATTTGAAAAGCAAAATAGCAAAATAATTATCTAGACGGCTTAAACATTTTGTAAAGATGATTTTAAAGCTAGAATGAGAAATTAAAATTTTTTAAAGCTCTTGTTGATATATATATATATATATATATATAATCAAACAACTAAAAAATAAATTCTCATCATAAAAATTCCTAAAAAATAGTAATTAAATAAAATGATAGTTGTAATCTGAAAAGCTAAGCAACAAAAAAGCTATACCAAAGATCATTGGCAAAAAATAATGAAATGATAAAATATCATTATATTCTTGTTTTTTTTTT